GTATAATGATTATAACTCACTAACAATTACCAAGTTACTCTAGTTAAGCATGATAATTTTAATTTAATCACGGTCGTACAAAAATCCAAATTATTATATAGATACTTCCAACATTTTCTCGAAAACTATATTATAAAAATATGTCACAATTGTCTCATGAATACTATCAAGTAGTAGTACTTGACTATTTTGAAAAATTACTTTAGTTATTATCTACGCTGGGGTGAAAATATGAAAGAATTTCATCACATTCGGGTATTTTATGTGCTAGAACGCAATATTTTTGTACTTCCCTCTCTAATAAATGGGCAAATAAAAAGGATGGAAGATTTACTGTTAAAAAAAACCTTAATATTAGTATTTTAAGGAACTATACTAATAATGATTGATTTAACATAATTACAAGGCCCTAGAAAGTTACAGTCGCCACTGGTTATAAAGAACCGAAATCTCGCTATACTGAACCGGAATTTCCGGAACTGATTTTTTATAAATAATTTCACTGGATATAACAAACTTTTATAATAAAACACTATATAACGAATCCGAACGAACTTAATCAGCCTCTATATATTAGCCATATAATATTATTATATCTTCTATAACGAACAGCCATGTGACTATATTCTAGTTAATCAATTAATCCGATATCCGATATCTTCCAAACATAATAATCCATCAGATTCCTACGGATAAAATTGAAACGGATGGAGAATTTCCGCAAATTGAAGCAACTAAGAAATGTAAATTTATTAATAGTTAAATATCATAAAATGAAATTTATAAGTTGTATAGCAAAGTATTTTAAAACCTTCAATTGACTAAACGCTCATTAAAATATGCAAACATTATAATGTTCCAACTAATATAAAAAAAGGTGACAAGAATTAAATTTCTTAATTTTCACTTTTGTATTCTAATTCTAGATCACAATATCAATCATGAAATTATGTCAACAATATTTTAACAAACTTTCTTAAATTTGTACATTTATCAAATATTTCGCTCTTTATGAAATATTTTTTATTTTTTATACTTAAGTATGATGTTCAAGAAAATATTATTTTTCGATTACTTGAAAAACTTCGTAATCATTTACATTAAATCCTCCTGTTGGCATACCATCGATTTTATGATAAGAACTATAAATACCTCTATTACAATACCACATACCATCGCTGCTATAAATTAAATCGTTACCACCACCAAACATTGGTCCATATCCAGAGTAATTTCTTATAGAATACTCATTACCATTACTATAACTTACTTTTGCAGTTTCATAGTTATTTTTATCTGCAAAAAAATATATAAAACTATCAATTATGGACATATTACAATTACTTGAATTCCAATAAAGTGGATTATATCCCCCAACTATTTGTTCTGAATTTTCAATTTTCGCAACAACAATAGTAGCTCCTTTATTATCACATTTAGCATGAAATACTGCAGGTGTATTACCATCTCTACTAGCACGATAAAGTAGATTGAATTTATAAGGAATATTCCTCACATTATTATAATGTAAATTTTCTTTCTTATTGATCCAACTAGCGAAAACAGCAAAATGACGATTTCTAATTAAAATTGAATCATAAATAGGCTTTATGCTTCTAGGAGGTTGAATTTCATCAATATTTGGTTTCCTATTTCGTGCAATATTAAATTTCACCAAATCATCAGCTAAATCTTTTGGTAGTAATTCTTTTAAAGGATATATTTTATCAAGAAAATCATCAGACGAAATATGATAAAATCTTATTAATGGAATAAATCCATGAAGAGACCTCTCAATAATTGTAATATCCTCATTGCTCCATTTTGTGATGTCTAGTGAAATAGAAGGATTCTTTGCAATACCCCATTTTAATAGATTATTCCAAATTTCAATTTCATCTAAAACCAAGTCATCTCGCTTTAGAATCAATTTTAATAAAGGAGCTTTTAAATTGATAAAATTATCAGAATTAAATAAAATTTCGGGTTCTTCACAAATCTTCTCAAGACAATAATTCCATAAATCTGTGAATGATTCATGTTGATAAACTGTTTCAAGAATTTCAATAGGATTTTGTTTCAAAAATTTATCTTGATGATTAATCAAGTATTTTTGAACATGAGGGATTAACGAATTGAAGTTAAGTTCATCTAATGCCATCAAAAGATCTAATACTTCGGGGCCCAACAATTTTGTTAAATCAATTTTTCCACAATAAATAAATCTAGTTAATTAAAAAATATATGTAAATTATATAACATTAAACGTTAAACATTAAATTTTCATAATTTTACGTTACCTTAAAATAATTTTAAATATTTGAGGAGAAATATTTGATTTTTCAAAAATAAATTTTCCATCTTTTTTATTGGAGAACGCTGTACAAAAATACTGCGACCTTGTACATAAAATATTCGAATGAGCATGAAATTCTTTTATATTTTCATTTTCTCCAACGTAGATAATGACATCATATCCCTTTTCAGTTGTAAGTAACTTTTCCAAGTCATTAGAAAGATCTTGAAAATATTCAAGAGACATATTTTTATAACAAGAAAATTTAAGGAAAAACTGTTTAAAAGAATTAGTTTATGATGAACAATCTACATAACTAAAATAAAAAAATTCGGTGATGTTTAGATTACCCTCTCGTATGAATGATTGCGCCCAATCTATTCCGTATTTATTATAGATAAAATATTAAAATATCATGATCATATGCAGATTTTTGTGGCTAATCCAATCTTGGTTAATTAATTTTATCGGAAATTTTTAATTATGTAAAAATGATTGTGTTGAAATAATTACGTGTATATAATATATATGATGTACATATACAGTATATTGACTAACGAAAAAAGTTTTAATCTTCGGATGATACGATCAGCCGCAGCAGATCGTATTTGCTGGTTACCTTTTTTTTATTTTTTTCATTTTTTCCTATTTTTTTTATTCTTTCGGTTCTTTTTTTCAAAAAAAATTTATTTTTTTCTTTTCATCTTTTTTATTTCAATACCGAAAATTTTTTTTTTTATTTCCGAAAAATATTTTTTAATCAATTTGTTTGGTTTTTCAATACCGAAAGATATATATGTATTCATCTTGGGATCCGTACAAAATCCCGAATGTCAAAATCCCGAATGGTACGAAATCCCGAAATATTGGCCAACATTAAGCATAATGCTGCCCGGTTCGGGATTTTCGGGATTTTGACATTCGGGATTTTGTACCAGACCCATTCATCTATTTTTTTTTTTTTGGTTTAAACTGAAAAATAAAATTTTTTTCAATTAGTTTGTTTTTTTATTGAAAATAATTTTTATTTTCGGGTTTTTTTTTATCATTCGTTTTGATTTTATGATTTTTTTCTTATTGTTAAATAGATTTTTTATTATTATTATTATATATTTTGTTGAATTTTTTGTTTATTAATAATTATTATTAATAATGATTAATGCTTGGATGATTTTTGATTGCCGTTATAATTAAGTCTCGATTTTAATAATCAATTGAAATTTTGGCTTTCTCGAATTATTTCTGTCAACGTGGGATTAAAATTGACACTAGAATAACTGGAATGATATTTTTATAACACTATAACACTAAACACTCATAAATTTTATAAATCACCTTAATCACTTTCGTTCTTAACCTGTAGTTTTAATAGCTTCCTCTTCATTATCGCATTTTTTTCGTGAAATATTCTTCTCATAAGTAAAGATTTTTGATATTCAATTAATGTCTATTTGAATAAATTTAAATAATGACTATAAGATACTATATTTTAAATAAAGTTACTTTAATCTGAAAGTTATTGGATTTAACAGAATTTTTAGCTTTTGAAATATCCCAAGTGATGAATTATCAGAACTACTATTATTAAGAATTCGCTTCGATATTTCTGAGAAAGCTGCCGATCTTGTTTCTGCTTTACTTGCTTGCGATATTTAACAATACATTGTAGAGCAGTACTAATGTTGAGATCGGTTTTAATTTTTAAGTCAACATTTGTGTGCTATCCTTAAAGTTGAACTTGATCATGAGAGTTGATATAAGGATCATTTCTGGCTGTGATAAGCTCTGGTTTCACATTATTATTCCTAATAAATGTATCTTTTATGATTTCTTTTGTAAAGTATTCAGCTGGTTTAATACAGCATCTCTAATATGTTCAAATCAAAGATCAGCATTTCCGGTTGGGCATAAAGTCGGAAAGGCGTATCCTGGAGTCAGAAATTTATTAATAGGACATCCATGCTTGGCCACATTATAGGAGTATTATTAGCTTGCATTCAATTAATGTCAGTATTAGTGATAGCAGTTTCTTTATTAGAAGACAGAAGCGGTATAGGAACAAAATTGTGTCTATATTTTCAGCTTCTTTATTATCATTATCAAAGACTTCATCTGTTGTCTCTTCAAGCTGCTGGGGAAGACGAACAATAAGAATATTCAATGATGTATGAAGTATATCTAGTGAGTCGTATTGTAAATTCTAGGTATATCTATAACATTACCACGGTATGCATATTGACCCTACTACTGAGACGATTGTGAAATCTGTGCAACCTCTATCTCAGTAAGTCCTTGTAATTCTTCAGGTATATCTCTCAGATCCATATAGTTTTCTGAAGAAAGTTTCTTTAATACCTTATTATGACCATGATATCAGCTACGACACATTTTTGTACAATATCAATTAATGGGAATTGCTCATTACAAATAAGACACTAATTTATCAATCTCTTTACAGAAATCTTCTGTCCAATAATATCTTGGTTCCTGATGATTGCTATACTCATCTATACTTCCTAAAATGATTTTTACACTTTTTCTACACATTCATTCACATTCTCTACTAAGCCGTGTCTCACGTTGTTCAACAGTTTCTTCAGTAATTTCTTCCATTTATTTTGATATTTTCCCCGATCGTGAGCTTCATGTTGATCATAAGTTTCATTTTCTCTAAAATTCTAAAAAAAATAGATACGTTTTGCAATTTGCATACTGAAAGATATCTAGATACGTCGGAAAATACACAATTCCATATTGTCAAAACCAAAAATACAAAATTATATTCAAAATTATATTGACAAAATAAGAAATAATTAAAGATTATAAATATTAATCTTGAATTATTGAAAATACATTATCTCACATGATACATATTTCAGTATCTCCAAATACAAAACGTACATGTAGTGTATAAACTCCCCCAGCGTAACCATCAAAAAAAGCTCGGGCACGCGATTCATGTGATTTGACTGCGGCTAAGTGTGGCTATGGAAATTGCACTACGCAGTTATTGCTAAATTAACTTCCTAAGGTCAACACTAACTCCAAAGGTAAAAGTTTCAGCCTAAACTAACCTTCCTTACCTAACCCTAAGATACTCCAATGTATACGTTATCTTCAAGGATAAGTATTTCCGCCTAAACCAACTTTCCTTACCCTAACCCTAAGATACTCCAACGTCAATGTTATCTTCAAAGATAAGTATTTCAGCCTAAAGTAACTTTCCTACTCCACTCCAAAGATGATTGCTTGAGAATATAATGAAATTTTATAGATGTTAATTCATAAGAGTAAAACAAATTCTTTTAAATTAATAAATTAGTGTAATTATTTTATTAAAATAGAATGTAATATTAATTTGACAATAAAATTTATTTAATTCCAATTTATTAAAATACATTAATTTAAAATAAATTATTTTAAATAATGAGTGCTATCAGTATGCCTTCCATGTTAAAGGCATGGTTCACTTATTTTGCCTTACTACTTTATGATGCAGACTAGTTTTGCTCTTCTAGAAGAGAAGGTAGCATTAATTAGGCTGTCAAATAACAGTTGCAAATTCCCTATAAGAAATATGTATACGGAAAGGATACGTTTTGTATACATTTTATGTACGTTTCTATAGTTTCCGTATACAAATTCCGTATATTTAATAAGCAATTCATTTTTGAACATTTTTTTAAAAAACTGATGTATACGAAATGTATACGGAAAAAATTAATCATACGGAATGTATACGGAATTTTTAAACTTAATATTTTTAGAAAATAATTTTACAAAAATCTCGTATCATAACACGAGATCACGTGATTGTTTATTTTTTTGTTATGATACGTTTTTTGTTTTTTATATAAACCTTTACTTTGATGAGTTTGATCTTCCGATCTTCCTTTCTGTCTTTCCCTTCCTTCTCCTTTCTCTTGTCTTATTTTTGTTATTTTTTCTAAATTTTTCTTCTTTTTTCGTCACCCCTCTTTTAAAAAAAAATTTTTTTTTCGTCACTCCCTTAAAAAAAAAAATTTTTTTTGATTTTATTCTTTTATTCCCACTATTCCCACTTTTCTTTTTTTAAAAAAAAATTTTTTTTAACTTTCCTAACTTCGTTACCCTCTTTTTAAAAAAATATTTTTTTTTGATTTATTCTTTATTCCCCTTTCTTTTTTATAGATGTGTATAAGAGACAGGTACAGGAGAATTTCTTGCTTCAGAAATATCAGATATTGTAGAGAAAATCGGTTTAGACAAATTTACAGCTGTTGTCACTGACAATGCTTCCAATTCTCAAGTTGCTAGAAGAATAATAGAAGAAAAATATGGTCATATTTGGGATATACGATGTGCAGCTCATGCTATTAACTTGATAGCAGCTGATTTAGTAAAACTTAATGATATAAAGGAATTTATCTCAAATTGTGGGATGATTACAGGGTTTTTTAATAACTCACATCAAGGTTCTGCAATTTTAGCTCAAGGTTTAAAAGATATGAAGATTAATATTGAGAGATTACAAACATGGTGTAAGACTAGATGGGGTTCATTGTATATGACAGCAGATTCAATTTTACGTGTGCGTCCTGTTTTTGACTGGGTGAGATAATTTTTTTGATTGTTTATTAATATTCTTTATTTTATATAATAATTCTAACAATTAAATACTATAGATTTTATTAGAACATAATGGTATTGTTACAAATTCAAACGTTTATCTCTTAATTCAAGATGAAGAATTTTTTACAAATTGTCGTCATATTCGTTCAATTTGGGCTCCCATCAAGGAATGCATTAATATCCTTGAAGCAAAATCAGCTTCTTTAGCTGATTGTTTCGTGCAAATGATCAAATTAGCAATTGCTATATTTCGTCTCCCTTCATCAAATCCCTTTAAAGCTTCAGCAATNCAAATTCCGTATCCAAACCATGTTTTTAGTGATACGGAATTGTGCATTTTTCCGTATCCTATTATGATACGTTATTTTTAAGGAAAAAAAATCGTATAAAAACTTTATAAAAAACGTATCCCGATTTTTTTATAGGGATTAGCTTGTTGAACTGGTATTATTGCTTACTTGGTGATTTCCAAGATATTAGGTTTATTCTACAGGTTTCATATTTTCTGCAAGTAGCTATTGTAAATAAAATAAGCCAACTTTTTTTTTAAAAAAAAAATTTGTATTCTTTGGTATCGGTAATGTAGACGCGAAAAGAAAGGAAAGTTTAAATAATAGCTTAAATAATATGCGATAAATATTTAAATAGATCAGTTGCCACAAACTGCGCCGTATGTAACAAAATCACATGCCCAAAAATCACATGCCCGAGCTTTTTTTGATGATGTTACTGGGGATTTATTTATTTATTTTATGTGAAGCCGGACAGACTATTCAACAGAACATATTCCCTCGAAAGGGAGAGTTATCCTACTTCTAGCTATCATCCATCACCAGGACGGACCCGAACTTCTTTGAAGACGTTGGAACCAGCCTGATCCCCTCCACTACCGAAAGAAGAACAGGAACCAAAGAAAAACAATTAAAAAGTGAACTAATTAACCCGTATTTTTCTTTCAGCAATAGCTGCCACCTGTAAATACTGTCATAAGTGGAATGGTTTACACTATTCTTATTGTATAAAAAGGATGTAAAAACAAAAACAAACAAGAAAATAGATAAATCTATTTATATAAATGATTCCAAAAATAAGAAAAGAATAAAATTCAGTAGAAAAAGAAACTAAATTAAAACAAAAAAAACAAAACTAACTAATATACAAATAAAATAAAATTAGTTAGTATTGGTGCTCCGAGATGAACCCGCTTGCTTGGAATCTGAAGCTAAAGTAGGATCTGTGCGGATTCGTTTCGACATATTTCGTGCATCATCAACAGACGAAGAGACATAAATATCTCGTTTAAGAGGACGCATCTTGACTTCTTTTGTATCATCTGATGTAAGATATTCATCCGGGAGTTTGTGACTACGACGATGATGATCACGTATGGCATAAGGATGTGCCAAAAAATATTATCCATCTCCATTTTTAGAGTATCGTTGACTTTTCGTGTTGATGCTTTACGTAAAGCAGAATTTCTATGCACTGTCATTATGCGATTATAAGTGTTATTATAAGTAGTAAGGTTATCCACAACACGCCATCTATTATTCATATGTTTGGGAGTTGTACCGCTATTTGTAGCTAATTCTTGTAAACGTTTATCTCTAGCCTTGGCTTTTTGATCTATTGTTAATTGAGTCGTCTCAGCCTTTCTATTATTGGCTATATGAATTTTTGATAGATTATGCATATAAGAAAACCATTCATGAGAACCTGGGACAATAAAATTATCATTCTTGTCGTAAATAGGATCCGGTGGAATAATATCCCAATACTGAGGAGGAAAAGGCATGTCCGGTATTGGACAATATGGACTAGGAGAAAATGAAGAATTAGGTGCCACTAATTTTGCACGATCATAAGTAGAATTCTGGCATTATAGTCATCTTGATCGGGAATTAATCCTGATTTTTTATAATGTAAATGTTTGACACGAGGCCTAAGTTTCTGAGAATCTAAGAAAAGGAATTTACGTTTCCTAGCTGCAGCAAGCTTTGTTGAAGTACTGGAAGTACCACCTGGATTGATGTTTTCATCTTTTAGGACTCTTCGAACGGAACGTTCAAAACGTTGTTTCTGCTTGGTCGCTGTCCGTGGATTTGAACTTGGAGTGAACTGAAAACTGTACAATAATTTGTGATACATATTGGTTCTACCTGCTGTAATATTGCGGGAATGATTACAGGCTAACAAAAATAAAAAAAGGGGAAAGAGTTTTTTTTTTTTTTTTTTTTTTATGATGTTACTGGGGAAGATATAAAGTATAAACTATACAGTATATATGGTCATATCTAAGTCATGTGCGGAATAGACGAACATTTTGCGACTTTTTGCGTATCTGCTTCAGACAATAACCAAATTGACATCGCATTCTTCACCTTACGCCTTTGGACTTTGATATAAAATGGAGGTTGATCACTTGATATTTTCCTATAATAATACACCAATACTGTAAACATCACTATTTTCATCAGGAGAATCTTTTCTTCGTTGATTAATGAATCTTTTTTGGATTGACATAGGTGAATTATCTTTAGAATTTTTCCATTTCACATGATAAACTTTTCTGAAATCTCCAGATCCAATTTCTTGAATATTACTAAAATATTTGTATTCAAACCCATTCGTTCGTATTTTCTGCTTTTTGCGTTTTGATCTTATTTATATAATAATAAACTTTTTTTAAAAAAAAAAAATAATATAAGTTGATGAGTAAATAATTTTTAAAAATATTCGGAAAAAAAAAATATTTTTTTAAAAAAAAAAATAAATAAATATAAGAATTTAAAGAAAAATTTCGGTACAAAAAACTGAAAAAAAAAATAAATGTAAAATATTTAAAAAATGGATAAGGTTAAACGGATGGAGGATTTCCGCAAATTGAATCACTAAGAAAGGTGAATTAATTAACAGTTAATTTAAAAAGAAATTAAGAGATAGTACATATAGTATAAATGTATCATCATAAATCAAAGATAATGACATTATATTTGTGTAATATTGTTAATTTTATTGTTAATAAACAGTAATCAAATGCCTAAATTTTAAATTTCTTAATTATCGTCTAATTCTAGATCACAATATCACTTATGGAATTATGTCAGCAATTTTTTATCAAACTTTTAATTATCAAATACTGCACTCTTAATGGAAAGAAAAATATTTTTACTTATATTTAAATATGACTAATTTTCTAGAAAATCTTATTTTTTAATTACTTGAAATATTTCACAATCATTTACATTAAATTCCCTCCTTGGCATACCATCAATTCTAGGATAAGAATTATTTCGATTATTATTACTATGCCAAACACCATTTCCATCATGGTATAAATCCCAACCACCACCAAATAATGGTGCATAACTCGGATTATTTCCTATAGAATATTTATTGCCATTACTATAACTTACTTTTGCAGTTACTATATTTTTCACATCTGCAAAAAAATATATGAAACTATCAAATGTGGAATGCCATAATCCACTTGAATCCCATTGAAGTGGATTATATCCTCCAACTATTTGTTCTGAATTTTTAATTTTTGCAATAACAATAGTAGCTCCTTTATTATCACATTTAGCATGAAATGCTGCAGGTGCATTACCATCTCTACTAGCACGATAAAGTAAATTGAATTTATAAGGAATATTTCTTACATTATAACGTAAATTATTTTTCTTATCAATCCAACTAGCAAAAACAGCAAAATGATGATTCTTAATTAAAATTGAATCATAATCACAAATAGGTTTTGATATTCTAGGAGGTTGAATTTCGTCAATATTTTGCTTCCTATTTGGTGCAATATTAAATTTCACCAATTCATCAGCATAATCTTTTGGTAGTAATTCTTTTAAAGGATATATTTTATCAAGAAAATCATCAGATGAAATATGATAAAATCTTATTAATGGAATAAATCCATGAAGAGACCTCTCAATAATTGTAATATCCTCCTTACGCCATTTTGTGATGTCTTGTGAAATAGAAGGATTTTTTGCAATACCCCATTTTAATAGATTATTCCAAATTTCAATTTCATCTAAAACCAAATCATAACGCTTTAAAATCAATTTCAATAAAGGCGCTTTTAAATTGATAAAATTATCAGAATTAAATAACATTTCAGGTTCATCACAAATCATCTCAAGACAATAATTCCATAAATCTGTGAATGATTCATGTTGATAAACTGTTTCAAGAATTTCAATAGGATTTTGTTGCAAAAATTCATCTTGATGATAAATCAAGTATTCTTGAACATGAGGGATTAGTGAATGAAAGTTAAGTTCATCTAATGCCATCAAAAGCTCTAATATTTCGGGGCCCAGCAATTTTGTTAAATCAATTCTTCCACAATAAATAAATCTAAATAATTAAAAAATATATATAAATTATAAACATTAAAACATTAAATTTCATAATTTTACGTTACCTTAAAATAATTTTAAATATTTGAGGAGAAATGTTTGGTTTTTCAAAAATAAATTTTCCATCTTTTTTATTGGCCCATACTTTAGAAAATGCTGTGCAAAAATATTTAGACCTTATACATAAAATACTTGAATGTGCACGTAATTCTTTTACATTTTTATTTTCACCAGCGTAGATAATAACATCATATCCATCGTTAGTTTCAAGCACTTTTTCCAAGTCGCCAATAACTTCCTGAGAGTAATCGAAAGACATTTTTTTTTTTGTTAGAAAGGAAATTAATGGGATACTTTTTTTTTGCAAGTATATTAAGAAATTTTATGTGACTATTTGAACCCGATTTATTAATCCATGGTCTCTATTAAGTTATGTAACTTGTAATTAAACTAAACATTTTTGAAACAATAACTTCTTTAAAATGCTGTAAATGAACATATTTGTATAGATTGACTTTGAACGTGTTTATTATTTTGACGAATATTTTCATTGAAAAATATAAATGGAAGTTTAACAATGAAATTCTTTCATTGATAAATTCGTCGATGAATGGGGTTTCACAGACAAGTTTCACAAGATTGATCAAATATGATAATCCGAATGCGCAGTAATCATAATTTATTGATTTACAATACATACCCAAAGGTAATAACTTTAGTAAGGAGAAACAAATTATGTCTTCTAAATAATGCTAACAAAAAAATTTTTAATTTATAATTAGTCTTTTTTTTAAAAAATCATAAGAAATTCAACCAATCATAATTCATAACTGGAATACCAAATTTTAGGACAATTATTAATTATTAATATTCAATCATATAAAAATCATCAGTCGATTTATTTATTACTAAAGTTATATAAAATACTATAAAGATTGCAAAAGACATAACAATATATTAGTCATGTGACAATCAAGTACATTACTGTGCCGCATATTTACAAACACGATTATAGAGCTTTTTATAATTAAGGCTAAAACTATGCTTTTATGAGATTATTTTAATTAGAAAGTATAAATCTTTGATATCTTAGAAAGTCATACTACCATATGAAAAATTTAATAAAAACTGACAAATGTTATATATCTACTTATCTACTTTTAAACGTTTGCATTACGATATGTACATTATTGAAGGATCATCATCATCATTGTCATGACATGCTTAATTTGACAACACTATATTTAAAATTAGATGTTATACAATTTTGCAAATTCAAATGGAATTGATAAAGAAATTCATAAAAGCAAAAAATTATTCAGTCAGGTCATCGCACGTATCTACACTTGAAAATAAAATAAAATAAATATATTGGACATATATGTAAATAATGATACACATTTTAAATGGAAATTTTGAAAACTTCAAATCGGTTTTTAATCGTCCGAATATGCATCAGGAATTTTTCCACGTAAAATCTACATGGAAATCCACATCAAATAATTGTAGAATTATACGGAAATCCGAATAGTTCCAATATTTTCCAATTACCCTGTGACGAAACACATGGTATTTTCCACAAAATTCTACGTGGAACCACGTAGGATATATTGGAATGTATGGAATTCCAAACAAATCTTACGTGGACCGATCTACCTAAAATTTCATGATGGTGTATTTTCTTTTTATGTTACTTGATGTCAAATTTTGAAAAAAATTTATGCTATAATGTGACCTCTTATCTCTCTTATCTCAATATTATCGATTAATGCGATCCCTGTACATACACAAAGAAAAAGAATAATATTATTAGGACAAAATGAAGCATATTTTTTAATTGAACAATTTATTATTACTATATTTGTTTTATGAATAAAAAAATATACTATTCAGGGAAATTAATATTGCTCATTAATCTCATTGAGATGTTTTCCGGCTTATCTCTGAGAAAAGATATTCACCAAATATAACCATTCTTTCATTCCTTGTATTTTCTTACAACTTTTCCTTTATCTCATTGTTAGTTGTTAAATAAATCCCATTTTGGTTTAATTTTACTTTCGCACACTTTATTTAAATTTCCATTCGGGTCTATAGTTTACAAAATGCGGCGGCTATTGTTTAATGACTTTGTATTCTTGATATTCCTTAAAGCAAAACTTAACTAAGAAAGGAATAGCGAGATGATTACCATATTTCGGAAGTAGCCATGTAAGGTTGAAAAATGAAAGTACTGATCATCTCCCCTATTTATAGGTGAAAAAAAATGTAATTGATGTTAATTAATATTTATTGTGTCTTTGTATTCATCTGCATCTTCATTTAAATTTCCATACAAAAAATTGTCATAAGTTTTTTGTCCAATATATCGTATTTTACGATAATTAAACAACGAATGCCGACAAAAGGTCCTCATAATTCCGACCAAAATTTCCATAACGCAGGCCAGGATGCCTATTTTCGGGGTGCTCAATAATAGCAAAATATGGCAATATATTATGGGATGGTATTAAACCTGTTTTAATTTGCTTTTATTTACGCTTAATATCGGAATTCCTTAATTTAGAATTAGGACAATGATTAGTAATTATATATATATATATCTTTTTCTTCCGAGTAAAGAAAAAAAATATCATTTTCTTCGAAATAAAAAAGTATCTTTCTCTCCTGATTAAAATAATAACAATAAAGGTTGTCATTATTACACATACTGACACAATGCTCACTTACATGCAGCAATTTGTAACAAGTTTCATAGGTTTTAAAACAAGGGCATCAGTTACCATTAGTAACAATCATCACGATATGCAACTTACAAATCCTGCCAATTTCTCACCTGGAGATATGAGAAATCCGTTGGACCCGACCATTACCCCAGGACAAACACCAAATTCATCGTAAGTAGCTGCAAGTTTTCATAATAGATAAGATTACATGTAATAATAATCTTTTTAATAATATAGAAATTTCATCGCTAAACTTGGTAATTTCACTTCGCAAGGAATGATATCATATAAGATAGTAGGCCAAATGGGACCAAATTGGAATCCTTTATATCTTATAATTACATGGAAAGTAAGTAATTAGTAAACTTTTATTTATAATTATTTCATTGAATATTGTACGTTTAAGAAATATTTGATTATTATTTGCACTTGTAGGTAAAATTAATAGCCGGGGAAAATTCAATATGTATCAATGTCCGTGAATATCAATCACCACCACTCGATAATAAGACCCCTGAAGAAAAATATTATTTATTTAAAGAGTTGCATAAAAAAGAAAATAGGATTTATCCAGGTGGAACTGCTATGTGGGAAGATGACGGATCTATCTTTATTGTCAGAAGAACAATAGATAATATGTATGCATGTGTTATTGTATAAACCTTAAAAGTATTTCCAACCTTTATCTTATATAATAATTTCTGTTTATTTTAGGTCTGATGCAACAATCAAAGTTAGTTTTGATCAAAAAAATTAGGTATTACCCCAAATATGTTTTAAATGGTTGATTATTATTTATTTTTAAGTTTCAACATATATGTATAGTATAAAAGGTTAAGCTTCACTAGTAAGGCTAATTTAACCTTTATTATTTTGAAGTGAACCATAAAGTCAAGCTGTTGTTTATTAAGCTTTCATCATCCATAAATATAGTTTTATAAAAAAACGAATTTCTAATAAAAATTAAATATTTGATTATTATCATTTTTTTATAATTTATAAAATCTCTGTTTCCTATATATAATTCTTTGAAGAAAAATAAAAGTTCGCTAATGAACAAATCATAATCATTGCGCGATCAGGGGTTGTCATATTGTGGATCGACTTGTATGTAAAATTAAATTTTACTAACGCTAAAAAGTAAAAAAAGGATAAAAAAGTTAAAATAAGAAGGTAGGAAAGAAAGGCAGTCATTGATCAATATCGTATTTAGATTAATTCTTGTTCAAAATAAATTTATTAAATCATTTACAATGAAAAGAAATTCAAATTATGGAAAAACAAATCAAATTTCCATATGGAAAATAGGAGTGATCAAATTGTACTAGACGTATTATAATAGAAGTGTAGTAATTATTGATCGGTTCTATGGTATAACCCTGTAAAAAATCTGATCCGTGTTTTATCTTTCCATGTTCTTTCCGTGAATGTATCATTTTCACGGAATTTTTACGGAAGACACGGAGAAATAATGGAAATATTCGGATAAAAATTTTTTATAGGGTAATGGTATGTAATAAATGGTAATTTTATTAACTAATGCCCGTAGCGCACCAATATATACAAAAAAAGTTATAATATTAAACATTAATATTTAAGGGAAATAAATATAAAAAAAAAAATATTCTTAAACGAGTCTATGATAAAATAAATTTAAAAAATAATTTCACGGCAATTATATTAATACGCAAGATCTTCAACTATTTCATTTGGTTTTATCACATCATAAATGTTTTAAACAAGCAATATCATGTTCTAAATTTTACATTATACTGTCTTTGGCCGCATTTTTTTAACCTAAACGGTGGTCAGCGTTAACTATCTAGTAATTGTGTTTGGCTTGATCCTAATGGCCTACCAAAGGAAACCATTAGTTTTGAAATATTAATCACCTGATCACCTGTACGCGGAAACTTATACACAGTAATGCATTTTCATTGGCCTATTACGGGACAGACAGAATCGGTTTCACTAGATTCTTTCCTTTTAAGGGATAGTGGAATATTTATCATCCTATAAAAGATAGTTTCATAAAAAGATATTTTTATTTATTTTTAAAAATTCAAATATATCACATATAAATGATGATCTCACACGATCTTACCATAATTTTGAGCCAAATGTTTACTTAAATCGGTTAATATATTTAAATTGTAGTATTTCCTATTTCTTTTAACAAAAAAGATCTTAAAATGTTTCATTCTCCTTTTTTTCAGCCACAAAATTTATACAAAGATCTACAATTACGTGAAAGAAATAAATTATATTTAAATTACAAACTTATGTTACAAGGGACGTGAACGGATGAACGTGCCATTCATTCATTTATTCTAACATAAAAATTTATTTAATTATTATTATATACAATATAGACAATAACTACTTTATATATTAATAATTAATCGATTAAATTCCTGTCAATGATCGAGCATGCTACAAATCCCATAAGGTAAAAAATTTATTATTCAGGAAAATTAATATGTTCATTAATCTTATTGAGATAATTTTCAGCTTATCTTAGAAAAGATACTCACCAAAAAATAATCATACTTTTCTTTCATTCTTTTTTCCTTTATCTCATTGTTAGCTATTAAATTAAACAATTTTGGTTTAAGTTTGCTTCCGCCACACTTTCTTTAAATTTCCATTCGGAGCTATAGTTTACAAAATGCGGCGGCTATTGTTTAATGGTTTTACATTCTTAAAGCAGAACTTATCTAAAAAAGGAATAGCAAGATGATTACCATATTTCGGAAGTAGCTGTGTAAGGTTGAAAAATGAAAGTGCTGTACATCTCCCCTATTTATAGAAATGAAAAAAAAAATGTAATTGATGTAAGTGTATCTTATTAATAATAGCAAAGTACGGTAATATATTGTGAAATGGTTATTAAACTTGTTTTAATTTCTTTTATCTGCGCCTAATATCGGAATTCCTTAATTTAGAATTAAGACAATGATTAATAATTATAAATATATATCCTTTTTTTCTAAGTAAAAAAAAAATCATTCTCTTCGAGTAAAAAAAAAGTATCCTTCTCTCTGACGGAACTTAGAAAATCACAGATTAAAATAACAAAAATGGAGGTTGCTACTATTGCACATGCTAAAATATTGTTGCTCTATATGCAGCATTTTGTAAGAAGATTCGTAGGTTTTAAAACAATGACAACAGTTACCATTAGTAACAATCATCAAGAGATGAAACTTACTGATCCTGATGTCTTCGCACCTGGAGAAATGAATAATCCACTGAATCCAACCATTACCCCAGGACAAACACCGAATTCATCGTAAGTATAACTGTAGGTTTTTGTAGTAAAAAATAGTATGCATATGGTAATAAACTTTTTATTAATATAAAAAATTCGTCTCTAAACTTGGAAGGTTCACTTCGCAAGGAATGATATCATATAAGATAATTGGCCAAACCGGACCAAATTGGGACCCTCTATACCTTATAGTTACATGGAAAGTAAGTAATTTTTTATTGCTTTTAGTTATTATATTGAATATGTACGTTTAAGCCGTTTAAGCAATATTTGATTATTATTCGCACTTATAGGTAAAATTAATAGCTGGGGAAAATTCAATATGTATTAATGTACGTGAATATCAATCACCACCACTCGAAAATAAGACCTCTGAAGAAAAATATTATTTATTCAAGGAGTTGCATAAAAAAGAAAATAGGATTTATCCAGGTGGAACTGCTATGTGGGAAGATGACGGATCTATCTTTATTGTCAAAGGAACAATTGATAATATGTATGCATGTGTTATTGTATAAACCTTAAAAGTATTTCCAACCTTTATCTAATATAATAATTTCTGTTTATTTTAGGTCTGACGCAACAATCAAAGTTAGTTTTGATCAAAAAAATTAGCTATTACCCCAAATATGTTTTAATGGATGGTTGATTATTATTTATTTTTAAGTTTCAACATATATGTATAGTATAAAAGTTAAGCTTCACTAGTAAGGTTAATTTAACCTTTATTATTTTGAAGTGAACCATAACGTCAAGCTGTTGTTTATTAAGCTTTCATCATCCATAAATATAGTTTTATAAAAAAACGAATTTCCAATAAAAATTAAGTATTTGATTATTATCATTTTTTTGTAATTTATGAAATCTCTGTTTCCTATATATAATTCTTTGAAGAAAATAAAAGTTCGCTAATGAATAAATCATAATCATTGCACGATCGACTTGTATGCAAAATTTAATTTTACTAACGCTAAAAAGTAAAAAAGGATAAAAAAGTTAAAATAAAAAGTAATAATTGCTAACTAAGAGGGTAGGCAGTCATTGACCAATATCGTATTTAGATTCATTCTTGTTCAAAATAAATTTATTAAACATTTACAATGAAAAGAAAATTCAAATTATAAAAAAACAACATATGGAAAATAGGAGTGATCAAATTGTACTAGACGTATTATAATAGAAGTGTAGTAATTATTGATCGGTTCTATGGTATAATGGTATGTAATAAATGGTAATTTTATTAACTAATTCCCGGAAATAAATATATATAAAAAAAAATATTCTTAAACGAGTCTATGATAAAATAAATTTAAAAAATAATTTCATGGCAATTATATTATTACGCAAGATCTTCAACTATTTCATTTGGTTTTATCACATCATAAATGTTTTAAACAAGCAATATCATGTTCTAAATTTTACATTATACTGACTTTGGCCGCATTTTTTTAACCTAAACGGTGGTCAGTGTTAACTATCTAGTAATTGTGTTCAAATATACTAATAAACTATGATCACGTTTAATAGATCACATGTAAATGATGATCATCACACGATCTTACCATAATCTTGAGTCGAATGTTTACTTAAATCGGTTAATATATTTAAATTGTAGTATTTCCTATTTCTTTTAACAAAAAAGAGGATCTTAAAATGTTTCATTCTCCTTTTTTTCAGCCACAAAATTTAGACAAAGATCTACAATTACGTGAAAGAAATAAATTATATTTAAATTACAAACCTATGTTACAAGGGACGTGAACGGATGAACGTGCCATTCATTCATTTATTCTAACATAAAAATTTATTTAATTATTATTATATACAATATAGACAATAACTACTTTATATATTAATAATTAATCGATTAAATTCCTGTCAATGATCGAGCATGCTACAAATCCCATAAGGTAAAAAATTTATTATTCAGGAAAATTAATATGTTCATTAATCTTATTGAGATAATTTTCAGCTTATCTTAGAAAAGATACTCACCAAAAAATAATCATACTTTTCTTTCATTCTTTTTTCCTTTATCTCATTGTTAGCTATTAAATTAAACAATTTTGGTTTAAGTTTGCTTCCGCCACACTTTCTTTAAATTTCCATTCGGAGCTATAGTTTACAAAATGCGGCGGCTATTGTTTAATGGTTTTACATTCTTAAAGCAGAACTTATCTAAAAAAGGAATAGCAAGATGATTACCATATTTCGGAAGTAGCTGTGTAAGGTTGAAAAATGAAAGTGCTGTACATCTCCCCTATTTATAGAAATGAAAAAAAAAATGTAATTGATGTAAGTGTATCTTATTAATAATAGCAAAGTACGGTAATATATTGTGAAATGGTTATTAAACTTGTTTTAATTTCTTTTATCTGCGCCTAATATCGGAATTCCTTAATTTAGAATTAAGACAATGATTAATAATTATAAATATATATCCTTTTTTTCTAAGTAAAAAAAAAATCATTCTCTTCGAGTAAAAAAAAAGTATCCTTCTCTCTGACGGAACTTAGAAAATCACAGATTAAAATAACAAAAATGGAGGTTGCTACTATTGCACATGCTAAAATATTGTTGCTCTATATGCAGCATTTTGTAAGAAGATTCGTAGGTTTTAAAACAATGGCAACAGTTACCATTAGTAACAATCATCAAGAGATGAAACTTACTGATCCTGATGTCTTCGCACCTGGAGAAATGAATAATCCACTGAATCCAACCATTACCCCAGGACAAACACCGAATTCATCGTAAGTATAACTGTAGGTTTTTGTAGTAAAAAATAAGTATGCATATGGTAATAAACTTTTTATTAATATAGAAAATTCGTCTCTAAACTTGGAAGGTTCACTTCGCAAGGAATGATATCATATAAGATAATTGGCCAAACCGGACCAAATTGGGACCCTCTATACCTTATAGTTACATGGAAAGTAAGTAATTTTTTATTGCTTTTAGTTATTATATTGAATATGTACGTTTAAGCCGTTTAAGCAATATTTGATTATTATTCGCACTTATAGGTAAAATTAATAGCTGGGGAAAATTCAATATGTATTAATGTACGTGATTATCAATCACCACCACTCGAAAATAAGACCCCTGAAGAAAAATATTTTTTATTCAAGGAGTTGCATAAAAAAGAAAATAGGATTTATCCAGGTGGAACTGCTAAGTGGGATGATGACAGTTCTTTTTTTATTGCCAGAGGAACAATTGATAATATGTATGTATAAACCTTAAAAGTATTTCCATTTTCCAACCTTTATCTAATATAATAATTTCTGTTTATTTTAGGTCTAACGCAACAATCAAAGTTAGTTTTGATCAACAATTATTACGAGGTTATTAAACATTTGTTTAATTATGCAACATATATGTACAGACAGTATATATATTGGATGGGGGAGTAGCTATGTCGGTCACAGGACCGATACAGCCCCACATCCCACATCCAATAAAAGTTTGGCGTTTTTGATCATGCATTAATTATAACATCATAAATAAGCTTTCATTTTTATGCTATTTTTAATCCACTTTATAAAGCTTTATTTAAGCTTTTCCTATAAAATATTCACTCATAACATTTTTTTACTCCACTTTATTATATCAATCATGTATTATTGTTATGCCTAATAAGAATATCGGCCTATTGAGCTGAACGATAAATATATATAGTATACTTAAGTTGTTAAAATAAAATAATTTTTATATCAAGAATACTAGCTTGCATTCACTTGTGAGGTTAAATTTAACTTTTAATCATTTTGAATTGAAACAAACATAAAGTTAAAGTCGTTGGTTATTAAGCTTTCATCATCATAAATTTAATTTTTATAAAAAAAAAACCTAATAAAATTATTTCATTTATTATTATCATTTGAATTAACTTTTCGTAATCTGTCTCCTATATATTATATTAATCCTTTGAAAAAAAAATGAAAAATGTTCGCTAATGAACGAATCACGATGCACAATCCAGGTTGTCTTAACGTGACTAGATTTTTATGTAAAAATTAAATTTTATTAACACTAAAAAGTAAGAAGGAATAAAAAAAAGTAAAAATCTACTAGTATTAGAAAAAATTTACAATAAAAATTACTAATTACTGGCAATAGAGGGAAGGAAAGAAAAGGTAATCATGTATTATATTTGGTTTATTCTTATTCGAAATACATGTATTCATATTAGTTTAAAGAAAGAAAAAGAACATTGATTGTTTAATTATACTATTAACTATGACAAATAAAAAATAATTTTAAAAAATAATCTCATCGCAATTCTATTATTACGTACAAAAAGAACGCGGTATAAATTTTACACAAGCAATATGTTCTAAACCTTATAACAAGTTGAATTTTTATACTGCATTTGCGTATTTTTTAAACCTAAACGGTCAGTATTCACTACTTAGTAATTTTGTGGGCTGATCCTAGTATTCTCTACGTGATCTACCAAAAGAAACCATTAATTTGACAAATACTGATCAGAAGTATATTTCGCCGAAGGACATTTCACCGAAGCAACATTTCATCGAATAGACATTTCACCGAATGGACATTTCGCCGAAGGACTTTTTGCCGAAGCCATTTCACCAAAATTTCAAATTATATTTTTCCAAAATATCCATTTACGAAAATTTTTTTACAAAAAACATTGTTGATAATGTTTATTTCGGTTTATAGTTTAACATTTATTAATAAAAAATTGGGTATTAAATCGCTAACATTTTTGGCGGAATGTCCTATTCGGTGAGGTAGATTTCGGTGAAATGGATGATTCGGAAAAAAAGGATTTAGCAAATGTCCATTCAACGAAATTTCCATTCAACGAAATGTCCCATCCTTTCGATGAAATTGCTTCGAAAAGGCCTCCGGCGAAATGGACTTAGGCGAAACGTACCGTAACCATTACAAATTTACAATGCACATGGAAACTTTTACACAATAATGCACCCATTGCGACTAGATTCTTTTAAGGTAGTGTAATGTTCATCATCCTATAAAGGATAATTTTCATCATGAGATTTTCCTTCAAAAAAAAGGTTAAAATTAAAATTTATTTAATCGAGTAAAAGCTCAGCTCAAATTTGATTGCGTGAAATAGATCACATGTAAGCGAACATGTAATTAATCATGACAGTCGATCTCAATCATAAGTTAGAAAATACATATTTCTTTTAGCACAAAAGGAGCTCTTTAGATATTCCATTCTTTTTTATTTATACAAAGATCTACGGTTTGGGACACAACAATTCATCAAATAAAATTGTCCAATTAGAAATTTAATAAAAATATTTTGGATGCATATATTTAAAATAACTCAACATAGTTTAATTGTTACTAACTTAAACTACAAAATGACGTTGAGATTATCCTGATTGGTAATCTAGATCAAAAGTTATTAGCCTGTAAAGTTCGGTATTTTCTTAATAAACGGTAGGATTTGAAACATCTAATTTTGGCCAGAATTTGACAAAATTCTATAATTTAAGCCAGAACTATGACTGGTTGAGAGGTAATGTAGATCATAGAATTTTTTCTTATGGCATGACTAAAGAGACAAGCACAACACTGTCAAAAAATAGCTAAAAAAAGAAAAAAAGCTGTGAACGATTTGTTCCAGATTTTATTTTTGAAAATATTGATGATTAATAAAGTAAAACATTTCCCAATATGGTTTGATTTTTAACCAATCGCAAATTAGTGTTATATATATCATGTGATTTTTTAAAATCTCAATTTGAAACAACTTGATGATTTGTTGTGTCTCCAACTATACAATGACGTAAAAAAAATTATGCGTCAATCGTTCATTTATTTTAAAAATTTTATTCAAATTATTATATATAAATGATGGAGCATGATTGACTCGGTTAAATTCACTACGATATTCATAAAATGGTTTTACTGTATATGTCTACACTTTAACTTGATAACAATATATTCAAAATTAATAATTCCATCACGTACTGTAATTACAGTCAGTATGCAGTATAAAAAATGCTACAAAAAAACTTTGAACCTTATTGGATCTTATACAATTTTAAAAATAATATTCAATTGGAATTATAATAATAAAAAACAAAAGTAAATCTATGCTTGAAAAAAAAAAAGAATAATTATATTTGGAGAAATCCGTTACGCCAAAGCCATTTCGTCGAAGGACTATTTCGTCAAATGACATTTCTTCAAATAGACATTTCGCCGAACCCTTTTCCCCGAATCATCCATTCTATCAAAGGTATTTTACCGAAAATATTTAACAATTCGATACAAAAAAAATAAAAAATGTTCAAAGAACAAATTTTCTTTAAACTATTTTATTTTTACTTGTTTTGGAAAATTGATGAGTACATTAAATTTGTCTAATAAAACTAGTTATCTTTAATTAAAAAAAAATAGACAAACGTGACTTAATATAATGTGTAAATGATTTGTTTACCTTCAATAAAAGAAAAGGAAAATTAAAAATTCCATATCTTCGGAATATCCCTTCGCCGAAATGGCTTCGGTAAAATGTCCTTCTGCAAAATGGCCATTCAGTAAAATGACTATTCGGGAAATGGTATTTCGACGAAATGGCACTTTGGTGAGGCAAAATTGCTTCGGCGAAATAGGTTTTGGTGAAATGGACTTCGGCGAAAAGTCCGGATACCATATTTTTTATGTGCAAATAATGGTGCAAATTTTAAATAGGAATTTTGAAATTGATTCGAATGTTTTAAAGTCGCTTTTTAATTGGTTTTTATTATTGTATATTTGTGGTCTTACGTAAATTTTTTAATGAAGGAAGGAATACCATCTTGCTCAAAAAAAAAAAAAAAAACTGTTATGCTCATTAATCTTATTGATCGAGATGTTTTTCCAATTTCCTTCTGAGAAAAGATATCAAACATAACTATTCTTTTTTTTTTCATTCTTTCTATTTTCTCCCAATTTTTCCCCTATTTCACTTTTAGCTGTTAAATTAATTCCGATTGGTAATTTACTTTCATTACACTTTATTTAAATTTCCATCCGGGTCTATAATTTACACGTTATTGTGAAATTTAGCACTTAATGTTTAATGGCTTTGAATTCTTCAAACAAATCTAACTAAGAAAGGAATAGTGAACATGGTTATCATATTTTCGGAAGAGCCATGTAAGGTTGAAAAATGAAAGTGATCTTCCTTATTTATAGAAGTGGATAATTGATGTTTATTGTACATCTTCATTTAAATTTCCGTCACCACACTCAGGTGATCATCAAAGGTTTTTACCTATACACTTGTGACATAAATAGTAAGAATAGTTAAGTTTATAACCTTTGATGATCACCTGAATGAGTGATTTCCGTACAAAAGGTCCCCATAATTCTGATCAAATCTCCATAACGCAGGCCGGGGTGCTTATTATCGGGCTTTTAAAAATAGCAAAATATGGTAATATATAGTGAAATGGTTATTAAACTTGTTTTAATTTCTTGTATCTGCGCCTAATATCGGATTTCCTTAATTTAGAACAAGTTAACATTAAACATGGCAGGGAGCTATAGTCATAGTATAATTAGAACTGTAATAATTCTGACTTTTTTTTTAATTAAGTTGATTTATACTACCATACAGTATCATAATTATGATAAATAGTTTTTAAGATTTAAAGAGAATTTCTAAATTTTAACTGGTGGAAAAATTACTGGTAGATCATGTGATTGTGTATTAAATATTCATGTGATTTATTATGATGATGCAATTTCATTTGGCTCGCTTCGCTCGCCGGGTTTTTCTAGCCAAACCATAACTTTCACTTTATTTGCAAAATTTTTGATTATATTTAACATATCTATAAAAAAATTGAGAAAATTACTCTTAACTAGCTATTAACATAATTTTTTTCTCATTTGGTAAAGGATGATCATTTTCGGTTTATTTTGCTTGTTAATCATTTTTGGCTTAGTTATTTCACTTGTTAATCATTTTAAGGTTAATTATCTTGATTGT